CCTAGCAGCTAAGAATTAAAGCTCTATTTCCCTAAATATTGTCAGTGTTCTTTACTTCCCTAGCAAAGTCTTAGTTTAAATTAATACCCAATGGACTTTTTTTGTGTGTGTGCTGTCACTGAGGATTGAAATCGTCTTTGCACTCTTTCTTGCTTGGCTTTTTCCACACAAGGTTGGTGCTCTACCACTTGAACTATATTTCCACTTGTGGCTCTTTGCAGGTTAATTGGAGGCAAGAGTCTCCTGGATTTGTCTACCAGACTGGCTGTGAACTTCAATTGTCAGATCTTAGCCTGAATAGCCAGGATTATAGGCATGAGACACTGGCACCCAGTGGGCCTAGCTCCAGACTGAGTATCTAGGGAAGATTTTTCTAATATAATAATTTATTATCATTATTAAGGTGCTGTATAGAGGGGCTACCATTTCCTAAGTCAGATAGTGAGTACATTTTTTTTGACAATGTCACTCCTTTCACTTTCCCCCAGACTGGGGAAGATTGTTTTTAAAATTACCAGTTGGACTACTGTTTGACACCTAATGCATAGCTCTGCATTTAGAAGTTCATAGTATAGATCTTTAATCTTCCTTCTTAACTCTAGCCTCTAATGCAATCAGACCAATATATTTAAGGGGAAAAAATAAATCTCCATTCCCCAACCGTATTAATGGAATGTCTGGAAATGCCATGAAACAGGACTTGGCTGTATGCAGTTCAGGTTTGCTGCAAATGTATTTCATGCTTAGCTTTCAGTTAGTGTTCTAATTATAATTACGGTGATTGCCTTGATAAGTGCATCCCAAGAGCTAAAATCCTTCCATTCGCAAACATTTTATTTCTGTGTAAAGGAAGTCTTTTCCAAAAGGTATTTTGCTTTTTAAGGCAGCAGAGCCACATTGTACTGAGTCTTAGTAGAAAAAGAAATACTTTCTTCTGCAAACATCAGAGACCATCTGGAATGCGGTGCTATTGTTTAATTTCATAGAGGCCAATTTGAGAGGGCAGACAAGTACAAGAGCACAGAAAAAGAAATCATTGGGGACTTTTGCTTGCATGGTGCATAACCACCTTAGTATCAGCTGGCACTCAGTGCCTTCCCAGGAGATGCAACTTGTAACTGTGCTCAAACCTCAAGAATCCTATTTCAGGTCTGAAGATGTGTTTGTCATTCAGACATAAGCTCTTGGAAACCCAAGCTGCCCAAGCTCCCTAGGACTGCACTGCCCCCAGCCTTCAGGACTTGGAAGGAAATCCTAAGTAGGTAGCTTGGCCTTGGTTGCATACTGCCCTCTTCAGAGAGAGAGAGGAGTATTCTCCTACCTGTGTTTTCCTTCAGTGCTAAAGACCAAACCAGGTAGAAGCCAGGCAGCTGCCCTACTATTGAGCCACATCTCCTTAGTTTTAAGAGACAGGGTCTGGTCTGGCTATGTAGCCCAAGCTGGCCTTCATACTGGATAGGCAGAGAGGGAAGAATGGGGAATTGTATGTTGCTTTGTGCTTAGCACAACATAGCTATGCTTGGTGGTGATTAGACACTTGTTCATTGTTTGTATCTCGTATGTTTGTTTTAACCAAGAGGCAACAGATTGAGCTAGACTCTGGACATGAGGCCGAAAACCTTTATTCTTGTTTAGGAGTTTCTCTTTTAACCAGTGTGTAACCCACCACTAGTAGCTTCTCATCTGTGTAATGGGTCCCCAAACTCTGTGCCCTACAGGGGAGCTGTGACCTCAGATCTCAGCCTTTTGAGCAGCTAGGATTACAGGCATAAGTCACTAGTGCTGGGCTTTTTTGGTGGTGGTGGTCATGGGACTTGAACTCTGGGCCTGAACGCTATCCCTCAGCTCTTCAGCTCAAGGCTAGCACTCTACCACTTGAGCCACTGCACCATTTCCAGTTTTCTAAGTGGTTTATTGAAGATAAGAGTCTCATGGTCTTCCCTGCCCAGGCTGGCTTTGAACACGATCCTCTGATCTCAGCCTCCTGAGTAGCTAGGATAACAGGTGTGAGCCACCGGTACCTGGCTATGCTGGGATTTTTTAAATGGTGATTTTAAAAAGCCTTTTTCTTTTCTCTTTTTGATATCATTGTCATTTGAAATGCCTCTCCATCCCTCTTATCTGCTGGAATGCATCCTTAGAAGGTGACACTCATTCAATTTGAGATGCATTTCCCACGGGGCATATAGAAAGATACAGCTAATGTTTACTGGGAATCATTGTCTTACACGCTTGCATTTTAACTCAGTCTTCTGAGTGTCCAATAAGGGATACACTATCATTGTTGTCATCAACATTACCATCATCATCACTCTCCTTTTAGAACAGAGAGTATGCTTAAACGTAGGAGTGAAACTATATCCAAGGTTGCAGAATAATGAAAAGGGACAGTTGGGCTTTGGGCCAGTGCTCTGACAAAGTCATTATGCTATTCAGTCTTCAAATTTTTTTTGTTGTTGGTCATGGGGGTTGAACTCTGGGCTTGGGTGCTGTCCCTCAG